TTTTCTGCTGAAAAGTAATTAGGGTAAATGAAAATCGCGTTTCGCAATTCCGATGAAGAGTTGTGCACACAGCTGGAGCTACCCAAAACACACCTGAATAGACTGTCACAATAGCTTTGTTCGCAGCTCCAGTAATGCGCCGTAAACAGTATAAATAGGGTCATACGGTTACAAAATTGCTCATCATTAATCCAGCACATTTCGCCATGATCTTCTACTTTGTCTGTGCACTTTTCCTTCTTAACGCATTCACAGCTGAGGGTGCTGCCACCGCGGTAGGTTTCTGCACACAAAGTAGGCTTTACTGCCATAGACTTGTTCTTATGAGGAAATCCGTCTTTCAGTGAGTTTTTCATTTCCAGCCATGTGAGGATCAAGGAGGCGAGTCGTTCTGCCTTGGCCCAAAGCACGCCGGCCAGTGCAGCAGTCCGGACTTCCAGCCCATTGCGCAGCAGTTCTGTGCTAAAACTTGTGGTATTTGTCACTGAATAATTTGGAGGATATTCACTAATAAACTTTCTCGAGATTTCTTGTTCATCATGATTCTTTTTATTATATACTACTAGTATTCTGCCAAATCGAAGTAATGAGAATGAAGGAGCCTGTGATATTCTTTGTAAGAAATAATGTATCGGCATGAACAGAAAATATTTCACAAAAATGAAAGTATTGTGCAGTAGCGTTCCCTCTTTTTTATATCCGTGTCAGCAAAAGTGGTGTAGTGAAAAGTGGCGCGGTACAAAAAGTAGCCCCATGATCGAGTCCCGGATTGTAAACCGTCCATGCCAACCAAGCCTTTCATCCCATAGCAGCTGACTGATTAGTTCCGGGCTTGGCTGAGAGGATAAAAAACAACGACCCGCACATCGCTAGTCCTCGCTCTACATACAGTAGCGGTCAAAAGTGTTCAAAACGCCGAAACGGTTTTTCGTGCTTCGCTTTTTTTGCGGAAAAAATCAATGGTGGAAAATTTTTTCTTTCTGAATATCCTGATTCTTTGAAACTTGAGGATATAAAAACACTAGAAAACATAGTATATCAATCTTTGGAGGGCGTTGCTCAAGCGAGAAAAAATAATGCACTGAAAATCGTTTCGGCGAACACTTTTGACCGCTACTGTATGACTTTGTGGAATTGGAATGCTGGCGGATCCCAAAAGGCACTGATCATCGCCGAATGCACTACCTTTCTACCAGTTTCAGCTCCAGTCGCTATGGCGAAGAAGCCTTCCGTGAAACTGGGTAACCCAAGGAAGATGTCTCACAAAATCATTTCTATATCTTACTGGAATACTTTTTTTACTGTAGAAAACATTGAAATGGCCAGTGGGAAGGATGCATGGTGGGTCAGGGAGGAGACCTACCAAATGAGAGTTTAAGTGGCGCTTTCTGGGCAGCGACGCTTTGCCATCGGGTGATAAAGCGCCAAAAACGAGCTCTTGAACGGAAGAGCTCTCGCCCGCCTACCATCCGAACGTGGAAACGGTGGTAACAGCCACGAACTCGATATGGTACCTTTATTGTCATCGTAAATTTATATTTCGGATGGCACCCTATGCCAAGCAGCCATATCTTCTTATGTTTTTTGGTATCTTTCATGGGGTTGCAGTCGTCCAACGATTCTCATATCGGCTCCAATCTCTAATTAGAATGAGCCTAAGTCCCTACGACCAGTATAGTTGATCTTCTTGAATTTCTTGAGCTGGGAATCTTGAGATTTGACTTTGAGTTCACGTATCCTATCTCTAAGAAGGGGCTGCTTGCCTTTGCGAGTCCGCCGGTCTTAGCGGCTTCCTGCAACTGCAAATAGAGCTTTGAGAAGGAAGAATAGGTTTCTCGCTGAACGCTCTACGCGCTTAAATGCCCTGCGTAGCAGGAGGTGGAGAAAAGAGGATGACATCATGAACGTGGGGTTCATGACACCAGTCTTAAAACATTAGGACCTGCCAATTTCAGCAGTAACTTGACCCGCGGCATCTAAAATGCGGCAGCGATGGGGTACAGGTACGATTTTCACCATTTCCAATACCATTATCAGCCCTAAGGATGAGGCTCCCCACCAGTATTTTATTTTTAGGACGTGTCAATGAGATCGTCACAACTCCTTCACCAACGCTCAAAAATGCCAACCTCAAAACCTTGAAAGAGTCGGAAACACGAATGTCCTGCACCAATTTATGAATCAAGCACAGACCAAGAACCGCCCGTTTCCGAAGGTGTCAGCCCTAGGGACTGATTCCTACTTGCTGCCTCTGGTATTTAGGAGTACGGAAAACTACCGATCGAGATGAACATTTTGCGAGTGGAAGCCTTCCTAACCGTTTCGAACTGCATGTAAGTGTTTTCGAATTCGGACTGAATAACGTAGTTCTCCGAAAGAGTTGAATGAGAAACTCTTAGATAACGTCAAATAGAACGAAAGAGTTAAAGCACTCGCCTCTGAAGAGGAGTGCTCCTTAACACTGCAAACTGCTAGAGATGGATGCGGTTTCGAATGTTGATTTGAATGTTCCACCAGATCTTTTAAAAGGCAAACCCGGGATTAGCCCGACTAGTAGGAAGGATACCGCGAGGGAAATTGTAAGGTCCGTACCTACCTAGATCACTCAGCTTCGTCGCAAAAATTGCGCGGTTAGGGCGCTAATCCTTACGGGCCTGCAACCATCGACCCCGTTGCAACGCTTCCCACCCACCGCGAGAGTGGTGAGATCAGCGTGCTCTCTCGAACGACGTGCTCTCTCGCGTATTTTGTCTTCTTTGACCGCCCTGTCTCGCCATCGTACCACATCCGACCTTACTGAAGGTTAAGGCCTTAATTTCAGCGTTCCAAAGATTCTCTTGCTTTCCTTCCACTTTCAGGTCGTTCCGCAGCTAAGCTATCACCACGAAGCGCTAATAGCACCAGTTTAATCCCGGAGTTTGCCTTTAAACTTCACCCCTTGTTTCCGACGTGCTGGGGCCAGATCATATTACTGCCGGAAATAGATGTGGAAGGAATCGTTCCGAAGAAGTCTTGAATTCTTTCCCAAGACGCATATGTCAGTTGTGATCACTAGAGACAACATACAAAGTTTCACGCACAAAGGTTCAGTCGATGAGAAACACTTACAATAAAAAAATCGGGTTAAAGCGTGCGATTTTGGAGAGTAGAGACAAATCGATCGATAGAATAGGATGCAGTAGAAGTGTGAGATGTGAATGCAATAAGTCAAAAGGCCAGAAAGAGTTTCTAGTGAAGGCACTCCAAGAACCAAGTGGAAGCATTCCCGTCGCCAGCATTTGTGACAGATGTCCGGCGGCACTTTGAACGCGTAGCAGCCCTTTCGGTTTTTCGAATTTTTTACCAAAACAAATGCAATTTTTTGTTCTTTTCGTTCTTATCGTGAACGATGGTCCCAAGCCAGTGAATTATGGTGAGATAGAATCGCGATTTTTCTGAAAAGCTTCCTTTAAAAATGGGAGCTTTGTTTGTTGTTTTCAGCGCTACAGTCTTTCACTTAGGCAGCTCCTATCATTTGCAAAGTCTTACAGATTCAAATCTCCATTAGATGTCAACAGGAATGTGGCTAATGCACTGATGCAACTTAACTCTGCTACTCTTCCGGGGAGTGCAAAATTTTTATTGGACATGATAAGAAAGAAAAAGAACT